GCGCATTCCCGCGGATGCGCGGTGGCACAGATGCGCTCCGCGCGGGGCGCCCGCGGAGAAAAACGCCCCACGTTCGCGGGGTCGCGGGCCAGGGGCCCGGCCCGCGAGGCCGCGGATGCAGACGTCCGAGAGGCCCAGGAGGCGGAGCAGGCGCAGGACTTTAAAAAATAAAACAATAAAATGAAAAAGGGGCCTCGGGGCCTCTGGGGTTCTGTTTGCAAGGTGGTCGACGCCTTAGCCGAGCAGTGCAGCCACCGTCTTGGCGAGGGGGCGGCATCCCGACAATTGGTAGCTCCCACCTGCCGCGCGGAGCGCCAGGCGCCCGCGGCCGGAGCGGGCGCAGGACGCTGTGTAGTGATGTCTGCCAGGCTGGCCTGGTCGCCACGCTGCCTCAGGCCGAGAGCGACGCAGCCAGTCCTGCCGGCCGCCTCCTGAGGAGGCGAGGCCCGCAAACGAGGCCTGACACGGTCGCGCTCGGCCCAGCCTGGGTCGTCTTGGGCGCCTCTTGGGCGGTCCTGGGCCCGTCTGGAGCCATCTTTGGGCCCTCTTGGGGGCCGTCTTGGGCGATCTTGGAAGCCTCTGGGGCCGTTGTGGACGCTTCGAAAACCAATAAGCCGAATCTGCTGAAAATGACAATTTTCCTGAGGGAATGTGACGACTTTAGCTTGAAGGAACCCTTTCCGGGGAGGCCGTGCCGTCGACCGTCCCCCCGCACGCAGCATCGCCAGGGACTGGTCTTGTTTCACCCGGAGGGTGCCCCCCCCGCCGCCCAGTGCGGCGGCGTGGGAGGCCCTCCGGCCCGCGAAGCGGCTGTGCACAGAGGCGTCGCTCGACGAAGTGGCGCTCGCTCAGGCCTGGCCTCCGCCAGCCCCATGTAAGCAGGCCTTTGAATATATATATATATCTATATATATATATATACATACACACATACATATATATATACATACATATATACATACATACATACATAATACATACATACATACATACATACATACATACATACATACATACATACATACATACATACACACATATATATATATATGACTACATACCAGACCACCCTAACCCAACCCGAAGACCCGAATTTCGGGTTGGGGGGGTACGGGTTCCATATGTGTTTTCTCGATGTTCCCCGAACCCCCCACTGGAAATGGAGGTCAATTTGAGGCCTTCGGGTTGGGTTGGGGTGGTTTTGTGGGTGGTGACTATATGTCTGCACATGTGATCTGCCCAACTTGATGAGAATGAGTTTCGCCCACGAGCAAGGACCTCAAGGCCTGGGGGCGAAGACGCGCCTGCGAGTGCCACTTTCGCTGCCGCGTGCCCCGAGTCAGTGCGCAAAAAAACCCGCGCCTTGACTTTGTTCCATCGGCGTCCGCGGACCGCGAAATTGGAGGCGCGGGGGGTATGGGGGGGGGGGGAAACGTGCGTTAAGCTTCGCGGTGGCAGGACGCATTGAATCAGGACATCCAGCAGCCCTCGGAACAACTCCTTCCGATGGGGGCCGCCGATTGCATAGGCCAAGGGACGCGACCTAAGAACGCACGCGCCAAGTGCTACGCTCAGGGATCTTCTGACCCGGGTCAATCCAGATCCAGGGCAGCCAGGCCTTGCAGGATCCTGCAACACCCTGCAAAAGCCTGCACCCAAACCTGGGTCTGCGCACCCCTGGCCCTGCAGGATCCTGCAAGATCCGGCGCTCTGACTGACCCCCGTCTGCATTGATCCCCGTCTCTGGAGCCCCGAGTACGCTCCGAAAGGCGGCGCGCCGGCCCTGGGGCGGAGATGTGGTCCAAGAGATGGGCGCCGAGCGCTCCGCAGAGTGTCGTTTTTTTTCAACGCGCGGGGGCGCTCTCATTACTTGGGGGGAGTGCGCGCCAGCGGGCAGGGCGGCGCCAGAACAAACAAAAAAAAAGCACTGCACTGCAGCACCCCGAGAATGAACCAGGGCATCTGCTTTCTTTCTTTCTTTCTTTCGCAAGGTTGCCGCCTCGGCCCTCCCGGCCTCGCGAGCCTCTCCCGGCGGACAGGGGGAGACTACATTACTGTGTGTATATATACGGCTTTTGAATGATGGTGGACCGCCGATGGCTCAGGACCCCGTCCTGCACGTCCGCACATGGCCCACCCCAGTGCAAACGTAGCAGGGAAACGTCAGCAACAGAAACGACAGCCCCCAGGGCACGGACGCTGGCCCAGATCCCGCAGAGCAGCGAAGCAGCAGTGCGGCGACAGCTGACGACAATCGCTGAAGGGCTCGGCGAGCCCCTTTGGGCGACCGTCAGCCCCAGCGATTGCAGCCTCACGAACCGCCATGCCCGCTGCTCCGACGGTGCCAGTGGACTGCAGCCAATGCTGCGCGTTGCAGGCACCGAACCGCGCAGCAGTGGCCACGTGCCACGGACTGGCGCTCAAAAAAACCGGACTGCTCCAGCAAAAAAAAACACCCGAACGGTAGCAGCAGTAGCGAGCAGGCAGCAGGTGGTGAGAGCAGCCGGGGCAGGGGTGAGGGCACGGCAACGTGAACCTTGGCGCACCTTTGGAGCAAGAGGAGCATCGTGGCCGCCCGGACCGAGAATGAGCGGACATGTAGCCAGCCTGCATGGAGGCGAGGGCACGGGCATGCCCTTAGTTCGGCGGTGGACAAACCTCCCTTTAGCAAACCTCCCTTTAGTGAGAACGGCCTGGGACCGAAACCGACGGACCTGGACCCGCAACAATGCCGCCCGCGACGCCCTCTCGCGAACCGAAAACGGCCAATTCACTAATCGACGTGTCAGGGTGTGGGTTCTGTCCACCCCCGACTTAGTGGGCTTGACCAACAGTGCAATTGGCCGGCACTGGGGCGAGTGCACGGTTCCTGGAAACAAGAGCGCAGACATCCGATGCGAAACGGCTGCCGGGCCAAACGTCCTTGGGCTCACCCCCCGTGGGACTCTTCTTTGGTCCCTATCTTGCCTCGGTTTGAATTAGGCCGGGCATGCCCCCCTACAGGCGGATGTAACATAATTGCTATTGTTGACGCTTTTTGAAAATTGCCCCGGTACAGGGACACGCCCGACTTAAGGTCAGAACCCTCCAGCGAAGCGCCATGAGGAAACATTGCAGGAACGGGGGCTGTAATGCAGCAGTCCTGCCAACACGGTGAGGGCACTGGATAAGGAAAAATCGGATACCGAGCCCAGGGCCGAGAAGCCAGTGCAACACCCCTTTGAGGCTCGGCCACGACCGCCCTCATCAGATTCGGCGCTGGACAAACCTCCCTTTAGTAGACCTCCCCTTAGTGAAAACGGCCTGGGACCGAAACCGATGGACCTGGACCCGCAAAAGTGACGGCCGCGACGCCATCCCGCGAACCGAAAACGGCCAATTCGCTAATCGACGTGTCAGGGTACCCCGGATTCCATAACAAAGTGTGGGGGGGTCACATTTGGGGGGGGTCTAATTTGAGCTGCCTTGGAGGGTTCGGGGGGGTCTGGGCAAAGGGCCGCCCTTTCATGGATAGTCTGGGGGGGTCTAAAACTTCTTGTCTGGGAGAGTTGTGACCCCCTCGCTTTTATTACGAGGAGGTCTGTCCAGCCCTCGACAGATGAAGGAGACCTGCGAGGTCTGGTGCCTCCTGGAGACACACTTCGGCGGCGGGTCCCGGGGGGAAGGGGAGAAAGAGAAGGCCTTCTCAGAGGGCTCGGAAGTCCGCTTCGGGGATGGACAGACCCCCCTTTAGTAAAACGTAGTTTAGTGAAAACGACCTGAGGCCCAAACCTGGAGGGCGCAAACCTTGAAAATAACGGCCACGGCGCCCTCTCGAGAACCGAAAACTGACAATTCACTAATCGACGTGTCACTGTTGGGGGTTCTGTCCACCCCCGACCGCTGGCCTCTTGACAAGTGGTTCAAGCCTTCCCCGAAGACGCACGTAACTTCTCAGAGGGCCAGAGCGCTTCTGAGAAGCCCCGCCGCCTTCTGAGAAGGCCTTCTCCTTCTCAGTTCCCCCCCTCGCTCGCCGCCGGATTAAGGCTCGGCCATGGCCGCCCTCGTCAGATGTAGGAATCCTCCAATGTTTGGGGCCTCCTGGGCACACTCCTTGACGAACGCCCCCACCGTGTGCCCTGGCTCGTCACTCGCCATCGCTCGGACGTCCATTCCCAGTGAATTCTTCGATTTCGCGCGTGCTGGCCCAGGATGCTCCTCGATGGCCCTTGCCGCGAAAAAATGCACACGTCCGACCGACGCCAAAATCAAGGAATTCTCCAATGTCTGGCGCCTCCTGGACACACTCCTTGACGAACGTCCCCAAAAGTTATGTCTTTGCTCGTCAATGTCCTGCTAAATTGCATCCTCGGGGGACCCTGTCTGTCTCGTCGCGGCCTTTTCCGCGTCGAATCCGTGTCGAAACCATGTCGGACTCTTCGGATCCGTGTCGAATCCGCGTCGAATCCGCGCCAAACCCGCGTCGAGTTCGCATCGAGCACGCGTCGAGCACAAGAAAAGACGCCAATTCCGGGGACCGAAGATGCATCGTAAGTCAGTGTCCGATGCATCGCCGATGTTTCGGCGATGCATCGGCGATGCATCGTCGATGTCGGCGGTGCATCGGCGATGTCGGCGGTGCATCGGCGACGTCGTCGCCAAGCAAATCGAGCTGCACATCGAGCCGCATCGGCGATGCATCGCCGATGCGGCGCGATCCTCTGACCCCGTCGGACCCCATCTAGGAGGCCTACCTCTCAGAAACCCTCGCGCCTTCTGAGAAGCTCCCTGTGCCTTCGGGGGAGGGCTTCCGACACTTCCCAGAAGGCCGGGGGCCTTCCGAGCCCCTGGAGCTGGCCTTCTCCTCCTCACTTCCCCCCCCCCCCGGGCCCGCCGCCGATGGACGAACGTCCGACCACCGCATGCCCCTGCTCGTCGGTGCCCTCCCCTCGGGGGGAGCCCGCCCCCTCCGCACTTCCCCGGCCCGCGCCAGAGACGCGCCGACCCGCGCGGCGCCGCGCCTGAGAGAGCGGGCCGCGGCGAGCCGCCGCGGCGCCGCCGCTCTGGAAGGCCTCGATGGGCGGCGAGCGAGCGAGGGGGGGAAGTGAATAATCTGAAAAAAAAAATGCGACAGGAACTTGCTTGCTAAATTGGGTCGGGGATCTTCTGACCCGGGTCAATCCAGACCCGGGTCAGCAGGAAACAAAAAACTGCAATGCAGGAAAAACAAACTGCAACGCAGATCCTCGCAAACCCGGGTCAGCCAATACGCGCGGCCGCCTCGCGGCCACGAGCGGCTCGCTAACCCGGGTCAGCCAGAGGGGGTCATCGCAGGATCCTGCAGGATCTGGCGCCCTGGCTGACCCCCGTTTGCATTGACCCCCGTCTCAAGGCTCCCGATTGGGCCTCCGGGGGCCCGCGCCGGGTATCGGGACCGCCAACAAAACGAGTCAGGATGCAGAACCGGTCCAGAAGAACGGGTCCGGACCTCTTGAGGTCGCGGTATGAAAAAATCATGACGTCGGGGATCTGGGTTCTGGGCCCTTTCTATCGGCGGCGAGTGTGGGGGGGAAGTGGGAAGCCGAAGGCCTTCTCGGAAGGCGGCGGGACTTCTCAAAGCCCTCGCGCCTCCCGAGGAGCTGCCTGTGTCTTCAGGGAAGGCTTGGAAAGCTTCTCGGAAGGCCGGGGGGACTTCCGAGCCGTCTGAGAAGGCCCGCCCCTGCTGAAATCCCCCCGTCGCTCGCCGCCGACTCGAGGGGAGAGGGGGTGGGGCGGAGGGCGGGCGAGGAGAGCAAAGGGCCTGGGCAGGCGAAGGCAGAGACGGATAAAAACGTCAGCAGTGCGCCTCCCCCAGGTGTCTCCTCCTCCTCCTCCTTCTCCTCCTTCCTCCTCCTCCTCCTCCTCCTTCCTCCTCCTCCTCCTCCTCCCTCCTCCCCCTCCTCCCCCTCCTCCTCCTCCTCCTCCTCCTCCTCCTCCTCCTCCTCCTCCTCCTCCTCCTCCTCCTCCTCCTCCTCCTCCTCCTCCTCCTCCTCCTCCTCCTCCTCCTCCTCCTCCTCCTCCTCCTCCTCCTCCTCCTCCTCCTCCTCCTCCTCCTCCTCCTCCCCCAGCGCAGGCCACCTTTTACCGAAAGGCGACCGAGACATGCGGGAAACGAGCGACAAGATCCTGTCGATTCTTCACAAGAGGAGGCGCCTCAGGGCGTCGCCCCCGGCTCGCTTGGCGCGCTAGAAGGGTGAGGTCCAGCGCCGACCGATGGAACCCTCACGATTTTCAGTTTCAGGGTTGCTCCTGCTACAGTAGGGGCCCGACCACAAGAAACCTTCCACAAGGAACCCCACCCTGAGACCTAAAGGACGTCCATAGATGTTTCGTGCTGGAACGTCACGCCTTCCACAGCAAAACCATCGAACCCCAAGAAGCCCAGGGCACCTTGGAGGCAAGCGAGGTGCTTCTTGCCATGGGTTTCCAATGTATGCACCACCGTGACTCCTGGCACGGCTGAGGCGTGATTGATGAAGGGGCCCCAGGACACACAAATAAAAACACACAAATAAAACGATTCCCTATATTTTCTGATATTTTCTGTTTTTTTTTGTCTTCCCGCCCAATTCCCATATTTTCCCATATTTTCTGGGGGATCGACGAATAGTTGTGTCTGTGTGTTTTTCCCCCTCCTGAATTGTGTGCGAAATGACTCTGGCGGGGGCTACTGTAAGTGATGAGGCCCCTCCCCTCTCCGCACCCCGCTGCATGCTTCGCCCCCTCTGGAGGATTGCGGGGCGTCCCGAGGCCAGCCTGGTGCTTTAGAAACTCAGGATGCCCCTGATCAAGATATGCGCAAAAACTATCACATGGCACCCAACACCGACCAGGACACATGGCACCGTATGACCCCCAGACCCCCGAATCTGTGCAAATCAGATAGCGCGCGCGTCCTCACCCGAGGACAGTCCATAGGGACAGCACAAAGGGGAAACTTCAGATGGCACGCGCTCAAGAGGAGGCAAGGCGGGGGGAAGGAATGGCGCCGCCGGTCGAGACATCCTCGAAACCGCGGCGCCGCCACTCGAGACATCCTCGCAACCGCGGCGCCGCCGCTCGAGACATCTTCGCAATCGCGGAGCCGCCGCTCGGGACATCCTCGCAATTGCGGCGCCGCCGCTCGGGGCATCCTCGCAACCGCGGCGCCGCCGCTCGGGACTTCCTCACAACCGGGGGGGGGATGAGGGCGAGGAGGAGGAGGAGGGGGAGGAGGAGAGGGAGGAGGAGGGGGGGAGGAGGAGGAGGAGGAGGAGGAGGAGGAGGAGGAGGAGGAGGTAGGAGCGAGCACTTGCGCAATGCGCACTCTCGAGACCGGCGCGGCTTCATGTGCGTGTGCGTCCTTCTCTCCCGCTCCTGAACCACTGCACAGACACACACTGGCTCGGACGTCCGCGCGCATTGCTTGGCTCGGCGCTGGGCCCCGTACTCACAGCGCGCCTCCTCCTCCTCCTCCGTCTCCTCCACCACCTCCTCCTCCACCTCCTCCTCCTCCTCCTCCTCCTCCTCTCCTCCTCCTCCTCCTCCTCCTCCTCCTCCCTCCTCCTCCTCCTCCTCCCTTCCACTCCTCTGGCGCGCCTCCGGCGCGCCAGAGGCGGCGCAGGAGGCGCCGCAAGGGGGGGGGCCCACCGCCGCTGGCAGGAGCCCCGCGCGGACCTCTCGGAGACGTTGTGCTTTTGTGTCTGGGCTTTGCTCTTCGATTCGTGGCTGGAGGCCTCCTCTCGCCATCGCTCGGACGTCCATTCCCTGTGCTTTTTTCGGTTTCGTGCGTGGCTTCTTCGCCAAATGATCAAGGATGCTCCTCGATGGTCCTCGCCGCAGGAAAAATGCACACGTCCGAGCGATGCCAGGTCCTGGATGGGGTCGCAATGGATGGGGCCGGAGGATCGCACCGCACGGCCGAGACATCGGCGATGCGGCGACGCACCGACGATGCATCGGCGATGCGCCGGCGATGCATCGTCGACGTCGGCGATGCATCGGCGACGCCGACGTGAAGCAAATCGTGCTCCACATCGAGCCGCATCGCCGATGCATCGGCGATGCGGCGCGATCTTCTGACCCCATCTGCTCGGACCCCATCTAAGAAGCGTAGAATGGCGACTGCCCGAGCTGTTCTCTGACAGTCCCGGGGCTCGCGGAGGGCCCCCGAGAACTCACGCCCCAGTGGACCTCTTCCCTGGGCCTGGGACGCGCCGGCGCTGCCGGTGAAACAGCCCCTCGACGTGGGCCGCGCGCGCAAGGGGGCAGGGGGAGGGGGCAGGGCTTCTGAGAAGGAGGAGGCCGCTTCTCCGGGGGCGCGCCGGCCCTGTACGACGAGGCCCGCGCCTCCTCTTCTGCGCAGCAGGGCTGCTTCTCTAAAGAGCCTTCGCCCCTCCCCCTGTCCCCCCCCTCTGCGCTCGGCCGATGCTTCGTTGCGACTTCCCCCCCCCCCCTCCTCCTCCTCCTCCTCTCCTCCTCCTCCTCCTCCTCCCCTCCTCCTCCTCCTCCTCCTCCTCCTCCTCCTCCTCCTCCTCCTCCTCCTCCTTTTATTCCCCCCCCCGCTGGGGCCCACGGCGCCACGCCCGTGGTGGTCGCCGGCGGCAGAGTGCGGCCCTCGGCGCCGCCAGGGCCTGCGGCGGGAGCGGGGAGCGGGGTGGGGGGGGGGTGGTGGCGGGGGGGGGCTCTCGCCGCCGCGCGGTCGCGCGCGCGCTCCCTCCCCGAGGGGAGGGGCACGAGGCGAGAGACTCTCACGTCCTTGGAGGAGGGGGAGAAAGAAACGGCAGGGCACCTCCGGCGGTGCGCGCGGGTTGCTTGGATCGGCGCCGCGCCCCTCTGGCGCGCGGGGTGGCGCTGGAGGCGCCGCCGGGGGCTCCAGCGCAGATCCGGGACACTCGCGCGGAGCGTCGAGAGCTCGCGTGCATGCCCGTCTTCTTCTTCTTCGGATGGGGCGCGGGCAGGAGTCACGCCCTGTGTGCGCAACGGCACGGAGCCTCCGTGAAGAGAGTGCGCAGCAGAGTCTTGACTCCACCGTGCCCTTTTTGCTGGGGCAGACGGCAAACCTTCTTTTCCACAAGCGCAGCTGTTAGAGAGGGGCGGGAGGAGGCGAAAAAAGGGGAGGCACAAGGGTCATGCTGCTGATCCACTTCTCACTCAGTCCACCGCGGGCTTCCAGAATGGAGCACAGAGACGATCAACCCAAAGAACGTATCAGCGCCAGGAGGGAGGAGGAGGAGGAGGAGGAGGAGCAGGAGGAGCAGGAGGAGCAGGAGAAGCAGGAGGAGCAGAAGGAGGAGAAGGAGGACAAACAGGGGGGAGCGGCAAAGGCGGTGTGTGTGCGTGTGTGCGTGTGTGATAGAGAGAGAGAGAGAGTGTTGAGTGAGTGTGCGTTTGCGTGTGTGTGTGTGTGTGTGTGTGTCGCGGGGCCCCAGTGCCTAAGGGGAGTCGTTGTTTGTGCCGCCTGGAGGGGGGCGGGATTGAAGTTGGGAAGGCGTCGGCCCAGTCCAGCGTAGATTGGCCCGCACTGCTGCAGAAGCGGGCCCTGAATGGGATGCGGCAGTATGGGGAGTTCACTTGTGGGGCGTTCAGTTATACTCTTAGGGCTCTGGGGGGAAGGGAGGAAGACGCCTGCAGTTCGACGACATCCCATTCCACCATAATCGAATTCAGCCTTCACTACTGTAGTCTTTAGAAGAGTATGTTGGCCCCCGTTCGCGGGGGTCAGCGGCACTCTGTCGCAGACCCCTCTGCTGTCCAAGAACAGTTTCGCGGACCAACCTCCGAACAAGGACGGCTGCATCATCGTCGTGTGGTTGGGCGTTGCTGGCAGGGATGGGGATATGTAGGTGCAGGAGTGTCGGCGGGGGGGGCTGGTAACATCGGCTCGCTACGCGCCACCGTCCACAACCACGAAAGAACATGCATGCATGCACGAATTCGCTACGGACAAGGGGTTGCTCGGGGGTTGAGGCTGGGGCGTAAAAAACAAAGGACAAACATTCAGAATGCAACAGGAAAGCTCGACATCGAGACTCCAGCGAAAGCCTCAAGAAAGTTATAGGGAGGCTTCGTCATCGACCACCACGAAGAAAAGATGCATGCATGCAGGAATTCGCTGAGACGAGAATTTTCGGGATACTTACATAGGACGCCGTCATCATCTTCGTGTGGTTCGGCATTGCCGACAGTGATGGGAGTAGGTGTAAAGGGTAGATGGTTTCTTGGAGAAGAAAAAACGGGGGGGGGTAACCCTCATTGGTATTCGACGGGACCAAGAGATCTCGCGCTGAAGCCGGGCAAATATTTGTGTCGTGGGGTCCCTGTGCCTAAGAGGAGTCGAGTTTGGTACCGCGTGGAGGGGACCGAGGGGGGAGGGGAGGCGAAAAGGGGAGGCGCGAGGATCATCCTGCCGATTCACTTCTCACTCAGTCCACCGCGGCGCGGGCTTCCAGAACGGAGCACAGAGCGAGCAACCCCGAGGACGTATCAGCGCCAGGAGAGAGGAGGAGGAGGGGGAGGAGGAGGAGGAGGAGGAGGAGGAGGAGGAGAACGAGGAGGAGGAGGAGGAGGGGGAAGGAGGAGGAAGAGGAGGAGGAGGAGGAAGACAAACAGGGGGGAGCGGCAAAGGCGGTGTGTGTGTGTGTGTGCGTTCGCCAGCGCAGTGACTCTGCCTAGCCGCCGACGCAAAAGTGGTGTGTGTGTGTGTTTGTGTGTCTCGTGGGGTCCCAGGGCTGAAGGGAAATCGTTTTTTGTACCTCCTGGAGGGGGGGTGGGATTGAAGATGGGAAGGCGTCGTCCCGCTCGAGCGTGACTTTTCCCGCTCTGCTGCAGAAGGGGGCCCTGAATAGGACGCGGCAGTACGGGGAGCTCACGCTGCCGAAACGTCATAAGTACGTATTCGTGGGGGTATCAGTTATGCTCTGAGGGCTCGGGGCGAAAGGGAGGAGGAAGACGCCTGTAGCTCGACGACATCCCGTTCCCCAATAATCAAATTCAGCTCTCACGTCTTCGAGTGTGTATGTGTATCTGTGTGTCTGTGTGCATCCCATGCGGTCCGAACGACCAGTCATACGGGGCAGAAGATAAGTACCCGAACGACGAACCCAAATCTGCGTACTGCTCGACAGCTAGGGCGCCTGGCCCACAGCTGGCCCTCGTGAGGGTCTCCGCTTCTCGAAGGCCGAGGCGCCCGGCCCACAACTGGCCCACAGAGCCGGCAGAGGCCTCCGGTCCACCAGAAGGGGCACCATCACTGTGAGGGTCGCCACTTTTCGAAGGCCGACACTTCCGGCCTACGGCTGGCTCACAGAGCCGGCAGAGCCTTCAAGCCCGTTGGGAGGAGCGCCACCCTCGTGAGGGTCGCCACTTTTCGAAAGCCAAGGCGCCCGGCCCACAGCTGGCCGCACAGCCGGCAGAGGCCTCCGGCCCACCAGGAGGGGCGCAGTCCTCGTGAGGACTGCCACCTTGCGAGGGCCAAAGCGCCCGGCCCACAGAGCCTGCAGAGGCCTCCGGCCCCCCAGGGGCGACATCCCTGTGAGAGTCGCCCCTTCTCGAACGCCAAAGCGCCCGGCCCACAGCTGGCCTGCGGAGCCAGCAGAGCCTCCGAGCCCGTTGGGAGGAGCGCCATCCTCGTGACTTGTCGCCGCTGTTCCAGGGCCAAGGCGCCTGGCCAACAGCTGGCCACACAGAGCCGGCAGAGCTTTCCGGCCCGCTGGGAGGGGCGCCATCCCTCTGAGGGTCGCCCTTTTCCTAGGGCCAAATCGCCCGGCTTACAGCTAGCCGCAGAGCACACAACTGGACCACATCTGCATCGGCAGCATCAGCAAAAACCGCATCAAGTACGCAATGCACAGAAGAATAACAAACATCTATCAACACCCATATTCAACACAACAACCACAGCAACGTAGGAACTACATGATCAGCAACGTCGACGACAAGAGCAGCAGCCCCATCAAGACCACAACAACGTAACAACCAAATGAGCAGCAACGACGACATGAGCAGCAGCCACATCATGAGCAGCAATGGGGACTTCAGCAGCGGCCACATCAACGGCAACCTCATCAGCAAAGAAGTAACCAACAACAACTGCATTAGCAAAGCCAGCAGAGGTATCGGATCACCAACTCTTACTGCCAGGCAAAAGCCCCTTTATGCTAAAGCCTAACGCGGAGCGAGCCATATTGGGATTCATCTGGATCAGGATCGCCAAGACGCAGCAGTCAGGCCGACTCGCGGCGTTTGAATACCGAAAATATTGTTCTGGCACTCTTCCGGATCTTCACACGGTTGTCTCCCAATTCGAGTAGTGGATCGACTACCGAATTGATTTGCCCCAATATTGATTTGTTCGTCGAATCCGTAAGACAAACGCCTCGACACGAAACATCAATCTCAGGGTAAACGAATTCTGCAGTCGATCCCCTACTCGACCAATGGGGCACCTCCCTCGGTGGAAATGAGTCCTCGTAAATGAGCGACTTCTTATTCGGCGTCTCGGCATTGGGCGGAGGGAGGGGGGGTCTGGCTCCGAACGTCTGCTCGGTGCGGCTGTCTGCAACGGTGCGTCCCGTGGGGGAGACTCCACACGCGTGAAACGGGCGCCCGAAACAGCCGAGATCTACTCCAGGGGGGGGGGGGGGGGCGGGAGGGGGCGGGGGTGCGAGGGCCCGCGCCGATCGGCAAGGCAACGAACAGGAAGACGGCCACCAGCTAGGAAGGCACAAACTATACACCAACACCGATCCTGGCCCAGGATCACCCTGGGCCCAGGATCGGTGTATACGCCCTCCGCCTGGCGCAAGAAGGCATATACACCGATCCTGGGCCCAGGGTGATCCTGGGCCAGGATCGGTGTTGGTGTATAGTTGGTGCCCTCCGAACCAGCGGAAAGGAGCCCTCGTAAAGGGGGGGCCCGTGCTGCAGCACGACCTGCTCCGGGAGGCCCCCCCCCCGGCGCAAGCCTCGCGGGTCGGCGCCAGGGCCCCCCCCCCGCGCCCTGGGGGGGCGCGGAGCGCGCCCGGGAGGAGGAGGTAGAGGAGGAGGAGAAGGAGGAGGAGGAGGAGTTAGAGGAGGAGGAGGAGGAGGAGGAGGAGGAGGAGGAGGAGGAGGAGGAGGAGGAGGAGGAGGAGGAGGAGGGAGGAGGAGGAGGAAGGAGGAAGGAGAGGAGGAGGATGAGAGAGAGGAGAGAGAGAAGGAGGAGGAGGAAGGCGACAGAAGAGAGGAAGAGAGATGGAAAGTTAGAAAGAATTGAAACAAAAAGCAAAAGAAAATAAAAACAAAAAAGAAAGAATAAAGAAATAAGATTTATAGACAAGTAAAAAGAAAGAAGAAAAGAGATGTAGAAAAAAAGAATAGGAGGAGGAGGAGGAGGAGGAGGAGGAGGAGGAGGAGTGAGAGGAGGAGGAGGAGGAGGAGAAGGAGGAGGAGGAGTTAGAGGAAAGGAGGAGGAGGAGGCGGAGGAGGCGGAGGAGGCGGAGGCCAGTCCACAAGAAACCTCCCACGAGAAACACCCTGGCACCCCAGGACGTCCCTCGAGTGCGGGTGCGGGAGCGTCACGACTTCCGTGGCAGAACCGTGGAACCCCAAATGGCCCGGGGCACCCTGGAGGCGAGCAGGGTGCGTCTTGACATGGGTCTCCACGGTCTATTTGTTCTATGTTATTTTTCTGGGCGGTGTGGTTAAGCAGCCCCACAAAGGATTCCACCGGGTCTACCACGGGGGCGGGGGAGTGGTGCGTCCAGCAATGGACAACGGCGTGCCCAACGGGAGAGGAGGCGAAAAGAGAAAGAGGAAGAAGAGCCCAGTGATTGGAGATCGAGCAGGACAAGGCACTATTTCGCATCGCACCGATACGCAAGCCATGCGCCGAACTCGCCGCCAAAATAAGCCAAGCAGGGAGGTAAGGGCACACGTTCAAAGAAGTAAGCCGAACGGCTATGCCGATCTGAAGCACGACATACATGCTCACATCGACGCCCTCTCGCTGGCGGATGGCACACCGAAGGCATCCCTACTAGCGCGCGAGAAGGCAGCTACAACTGTACTCGCACAATCGTGCAACTGAGCAGGTCTGGCCGTCTTTCCAATGCCAATGCCAGCGCCAACCAATGCCAACGGGGCAAGAGCAGCTCGGCTTCAGATTCACTGCGCGCCCATCTGTGGGGCTCCTCATGCCAGGAATGCGCGACGTCTCCACAGCCACATCGCCCCCCGTCACCACCGCCCACGCAACAGCCCCACTGGCTCGTCGAGCGAGCGCCACCCGTCCAGAAGCTGAGGACTGCACCCCCGAGTCCGAGAGAGAGAGAGAGAGAGAACGCAGTCGTTGAAGGCCGCCTGGCCATGGCGCTCCGCTCGACAGCGCTCCCCCCTCCTCTCGCCTCGCTTCGCCAATCCCCCCCCCCCCCTCGACATCCACTGGCAGAGGCAGCTTGAAAAGGCTCCCGCCCGCGCAGTCGGGACGAACCTGCGCGAGGCCCCGAGAAAACTGGCCGGGCCGAGATCCATCGGACCCTCGCGGGCGGGAAGAGGCACAGGCTCACGATCTATAAACTCGAGAATCTGAAAGTCCCCCTGCACCCACCACCTCCGCCCCCCCCCCCTCAGATCCCCTCCCGCCCCGACCATCCCACCAAGGCACCTGCCCTGCCCAAGAAGCCCCTTGCTGCGCCGCGGCCGCCTTGGAGAATCCACCCCCGCGCGCCCCGCCGGAGGCCCGACTGGGGAGCGCGGGAGAGGGAGGCGGCAGGCGGCGGTGACACAGGCGTGCCCACGGATCCACATACCCGAACTGGGCAAGGAAAAGACGGGTGCGACGCTTGGTGGTCTCCAAACCAGGTGGTGAGACACCCGGTGGTGACCCCGATTCCCCCTAAAAATAATTCTGGGTCACCACCGGGTTTGGGGACACGCGGTCGCCACGAGGTTTTGCGTTTCCTGGGCCAGCCAGCGCTCGAAAACAATAACCCAAATCGCCCAAAACTCACCACTGGGTGTTCTCACCACCACGTTTGGGGACCACCAAGACGCCCAGCAGCAGATGCTGTCCCAGACCGGCAGCGGCCGCTCTTCGGCAGACGCCTTTTGGTCTCAGGTGGGCAACACCACTGGCGACACAGACGGCGAGCCCTGTTCAAAAGGAGCAGGGCTGCTGTCGGTCTTGGTCCCCACTCTTTACATACCCTCTCAGACCGATCCAAACTGAGTTCACTACGCCGCAGCCAGGGCCGAGTCCTCCTCCTGGATGCCACGGAGCTTGGAGTGCTTGCTATCTCCGCTCTTCATCCGCTGGAAGCCCTCGCTGGCGCCGCTCAGCTGCCGCTCAAACTGCGCCTCCAGGGCCCGCGACTCCTTGATCGTCTCCTTCTGAGAGTGGACGTAGAGGGCGTGAGCGACCGCGAGGCAGCAGTAGAGGGCCGAGGGCATGAGCAGCGTGAAGAGCTCGAGTGCATTGTACGAGATAGTGCCCACGAGTGCGCCTCCGATGAAGCCGACAAGCAGGAGCGTCATGAGAACCACCTTGTTTCTGTCCGCGGTGTGCTCCTCCAAATCATCAGGCGCATAATTGCTGAAGGACAGGCGCTTCTTCAGAAACCTGGAGATGGTGCGGCCCGCGGCCAGGCCGAGGTCCGTGCCCGTCCCCGTCATGTGGGTCGTGCGGATGACGTTGCCGCTCCAGGACGAGCAGAGTCCGTTCTGGAGGCCGCAGCCGAGGGCCAGAAGGTGCGCACCAAGCTTGCCGTAACCGGACAGGAAGATCGGCATGGCCATGATGAACGCGAGCATCATGAGGGCGGTCGAGTAGGGCGCTGTGCCGATTTTGAGAGTCGCCTTGGGAATGAGCAATCCGCACAATATCGATCCGACAATGAAGTCAAGGACGAGCAACGCTGGGGTGTCAACATCCCCGTCTTGCAGGTCAAACGAACGAAGCCCGATCGCCGTGGAAGAGCCAGAGACGTGGCTGACGTAGTATGCGAACTTCGCAAATGCCACAGCGTTGACCATTCCAGCGCAAATCGCCAAAGTAAAACCGCTCACGTGCACGCCGAGCTTCTCTCTGCTGTCGATGCTCACCGCATCCAGTACGTTAAGCCTTTCTGCGAGCGCGGCGCGGAAATGCCGGCTGTCGAGCGCTTCGCCTATAGAACCCAACGCCTCGTCACTGATCATCATTGACTGAGAGCGGACCATGGTGAAGCCGGCCATCTTTGCGCAGAGCAACTCACTGTCAGTCTGACGGGCCTTCCTACACTGTTGGGCGAGTGAGCAGCACAGCGACCTACTGGATTCAGCGAAAGCTTGAGCCCAAACAGCGGGGCGGGAGGCTAGGAACAGCTCGGGACGCTGACACCTGGGAATAGGAAGTGGCTAGCGTGTCGCGCCGAAGCGCGGTGGGCCAGAACCGGCGGCGCGACACGCAAAATCCCTGGTCGATATCCTCCCGTGCCGCGACCCGGCTGCCAAGAAATAGCGATACTACTCCCCAGACCTCTCCCGGGTCTCCCGGGGTGAATTCTGGCCAGAATTTCGAAGCGACTCGGACCTTGGCGACGGAGACCTTCCAGGAGGCCCATCAAGGCGAAAACGAAGTAAGAGTAATTAGCGATATCGGTACGGAAAGTTTGGTTCCTCAGAGCGTGGGGGATCGTTCAACCCTGAACGATCGGCCTTTTCAGAAACTTCAGATCCTTCAACATCGACCGACTCTGTGTCGCCAGCGGCGTTCAACGTTGAGCGCCCGCGCTGGGGTCGCCGCTAGTCGACACGACGCAAAACTAAATGAAACTACCCCAGACGTGAGATGTCCTAATTTTCTACATACGGGGTCTCTGGAAGTCCCTACCCTTCCCCAAGGGCCAGCTTTTCATCCTCCGTCGTTGTTTGACGGTGTCGGGGCCTGGCGAGGGCCCCTGGAGGCCGAAGATGGCCAAAAACCTCCCATCCTGACTTTTTCATGACGCGAGCATGTCTCGAGCAAGAGATCGACTGCAGAATCGACTTACCCCAAAACTATTGTTCCGTCGAGTCTACGACGAATACGTAGTATGCTTGTAGATCCAGGAACATGATATGCATTCTTGGTAGATCCGACGAACAACAATCTGGGGTGAATGAATCTGCAGCCGATTTCTGTACGACGCGAGTATGCCTGGTTCGGTGGTAACTCACGGGAGCCTCCCATACCACCTTGTTGGCTCTTGCGAATCAACGCTAATCGATACTAAATCGAGGTTCATCGACGCTCAATCAACGCTGATAGACGCTAACCGACGCTAAATCGGCGCTATCTCATCGACTCCAGGTGCTAGTCGACGCTAGTCGACGCTAAATAGAACTAAGAGGGTACACCAGGCTCACATGATGTGCCACCGACGCATCCCATCCCCTCCTCTTCGTGCAGTGGCGCCTGGCATGGCCGCGGCGTACAAACGAACTGTTCCGGTGCATCGATCCTGCAGCCGATGCTCCACGACGCGAGCGTGCCTTCGGGGATCTTCTGACCCGGGTCAATCCAGACCCGGGTCAGCAGGAAACCAAAAACTGCAATGCAGGAAAAAAATGCAACGCAGGTCTTCGCAAACCCGGGTCAGCCAATATGTGCGGCCGCCTCGCGGCCACGAACGGCTCGCTGGCCCGGGTCAGCCTGAGGGGGTCTTCGCAGGATCCTGCAGGATCCGGTGCCGTGGCTGACCCCCGTTTGCATTGACCCCCGTCTCGAGGCTCCCGACGTCATGATTTTTTCATGACGCGACCCCCAAAGGTCCCGACCCATTACCTGGGACCGGCTCTTCATCCTGAGTCGTTTTTTGACGGTCCCGAGGCCCGGCGAGGGCCCCCGGAGGCCGAAAATAGCAAAAAACCTCCCGTCGTGATTTTTTCATGACCCGAGGGGGTCTGGGTCTGTGTCCTGGTCTCCTCCTCCGACCAGGCTGCGCCGCCTGCCCCCCCTCGGCCCGAGCGCGCACGGCGGCCTGTGGCCCCCGGGGGCCTCCACCCGGCCATGCCGAACTTCAGGGACGACACGCTCCCACCGCCGGCCGGCCTCCGCAGCGCGACTCTCTCGAGGGGCGAGGACGACGCCGCCGACGACGACGACGACGACGACTACGACGACGACGACGAGGAAGGCGACGACGACGACGACGACGACGACGACGACGACGACGACGTTGACGACAACGACGACGACGACGACGGTGACGACGACGACGGCGAGGACGAGGACGAGGACGACGCGTCGTGCCCGCTCCGCCGCCGCGAGCGCGACGCCGTGCACCGCGCGGGTCGCGCGGGTCACGGCGCCGCGCAGGCCTCGGGTTGCGAGGGGCGCCTCTGCCCCAAGGTTCCCTTCTGAGGCCGTTCGGCGCCGTAGCCCACTCGGCCGCCGGACGGGCTCTCGATCGAGCCCACTCGGCGGCCGAACGGGCTCACTGCCTGTGACCCTGTCGGAACTGAGCCCCTTCGGCCCCCCACTCGGCAGCCGAACGGGCGCAGGCGCCGAACGGGCTCCACATGGAACAGTGGCGTGCTGGGGGCTCAGAGGGTGCAGTGGGGCCCTGAGCGGACGGGGCCCTGGGGACAGAAGAGAGCCCGTGCCCGAGACCGACCCTGTAGTCCCAGACGTCCGGCCGCTCCAACTTGCTTCCGATGCGCGGGCCCCAGAGGCCTGGACCCTCGTCCCGGGCCGTTTCTTGACGCTCCCGAGGTCTAGCCAGGGCCCCCAGAGGCCGAAAGCTGCCAAAATCCCGCCGCTCCAATGTCGTTGGAACGTCGGATCTCTGGGTGGGTCCCCCAGGCCCCCTTTCGCTAGAGGCCTCTTAGATGGGGTCCGAGTAGATGGGGTCGGAGGATCGAGCTGCATCGCCGATGCATCACCGACACATCGACGATGCATCGACGAGGCATCGGCGACGTCATGACGTCGGCGAGACGTCTGCGACGTCGGCTCGGGCCGCATCGCCGATGCATCGGCGATGCGGCGCGACCCTCCGACCACATCTGCTTCGACCCCATCTGGGGGGCCTGGATTCGCTGGACCGCCGCGTCCCGCCCTCGCGCTCTCGCGCGCGCCTGTCGGGAGCGGCCAAGAGGGGGGTGTCCAAGAGGGGGGGGTGCAAATCATGACCGGCGGCAAGTGCGCGGCCCAGCGGGGGGGCCAGGGACGTAAAGAAATAAGAAGAGGCGCCATGAAATCTGGGGAAATATCATGGCCCGCGCCATGATATCCCCCCCCCCCCTAGTCATCACCCCCCTCTTTTCCGCCCCCGAGCCTGGCTGGCGAGGCACAGCTGCTCCGGCGGCCGGGGGCCGCGAGGCGCGGCGCGAACGGGGGGGCTGCCGCGGCGCGCTCCCCGTGGGGGTGGGGGGGCCTCGGGACGCTCCCAGGCAACGCCTCGGCGACACGCCATTTTTTTCGAGGAGCGCGATCTACAGCAGGAGCTCGACCACAAGAAACCCTCCCCAAGAGACCCGACCCTGGAACCCCAGGACGTCCATGGATTCTCGGTGTGGGAACGCTGCGCGCTCCATCGCAAAGCCATCGAAGCCCAAGAAGCCCAGGGCACCCTGGAGGCAAGCGGGGTGTTTTTTGGCACGGGTTTCCACTGTACCGGTGCCTGACTGGAAAAATGCCCCCGCCCCCCCCCCCCTTCGCCCCTCTCCTTCCGATCTTGGGAACCGTAGGAGGGGGAAAGGTAGGGTGGGGTTGTTGGGGTTCGCAGGCGCGGGCCCCACACAACATGTGTGTGTGTGTGTGTGTGTGTGTGTGCGTGTGTATGTGCGTTTTCTCGGGATATGGGTTGTACAATCTGTGTGGTTCATGTGGTGCACATTACGCTGTGCAGCTCATGCTGCGAAGTTTATGTTGTTCAGCTCATGTGGTGTAATATAGTTAATATCGTCCACGTTATGCAATATATGCAGACAAATATAGGTCGAACAAACTCTGCGGTGCAAGCTACGTTCTCCAATACATTGTGCAATCAACGTGGTGCAAACGATTAGCCTGCACCGCGTATGATCACCCCCCGCTGTTGCAAACGTCCCACACACACACCCAGACGCAACTTGGTTTGCAAAACCCATGCGGCGGCGATGAAGATGAGTGCTTGGCGTTGGCTGGCGAATCTCCGCGGCCGCACTAGCCCGCGTGTGTTCGCGCGCGCAACGGCCAGCTAGTTTGGCGCGACCGACGCGGCCGCGGTGGCGCCGACCGCTTGGCACATACCACCGGGCACTTCACTGCGAGTCGATGACTTGGGCGGGCGCGGTTATCATGGCGACGCCGACAACGGTACACACGATTATGAGAGTAGCGATGGTGGCGGAGGTGGCGATGACGACAATAAGGCCAATGACGGCGCCGATGCTGAGCACGCCGGCGACGATGACGGTGTTTTCGCGTCGGTGATGAAGGTTTCGGAAGAAGTTCGACATGCGAGCTCGGCCGACTCGCGAGACCATCCGCATGGTATTATTGCACACGGACCGTGTTTCCACAGCACGCGCGCAAAGGCGTTCGAATGATTTCGGCATGCGGCGCGACAGGCCCGCATGGCAAAATGTTAATGGACATGTTGGAAAAACGATGGTGTACTCAAGAATTCGAAAGAACGTGAGCGCAGGCTTTCAAACTTTACAAAACCGTTGGTTCTTGTTGACTGATTTCGGCATGCGGGCGCGACGATGCGCGCGCGTACACTTCGTCACATTTTTTGCAACGTATTTTTGCGACAGCACACGCACAATGGCGTTCGAACGATTTCCACATGCGCGCGCGAAACCCGCTTGGTAGCAGGTTGGAACAACAGCTATGGTTTCCCCAAAGATTCGCAAGAGCGCGCGCGCAACCTGTTTTTGAACATCTGCTTGGCGAAGCTATGCGTGTTTAAACTGTTGTTTGGACACTCGATTTGGAAATCCCTGCAACATCGAAGGCATATGAAGGATTACGGCATGCGCGTGCGACGACGCGCGCGTGCGCATTTCGTCTCATTTCTTGCATGGGATTCTTGAAAACTGATGATGTTTGATAAACGCGTGCGCGCGCAAAATATCTTTGTACAGAGGATGGCGGCAGAGGGACGATACCGGCCCTGATGGGATGGTGCGAATTTAATTTCGGATGGACGATGGAGAAAAACCATACGTAAATTGCAATACGAAAAGGGGGGCGGATAATCCCTGGGGGGTATGATCCATTCTCTTGTAAGAAAGGAGATGCCATTTACGTTAACAAACGAGCGGATACATCCCATACTCTTGCAAATATCCCATCCACCCACCCGCAACTTGGTTTGCAAAAGGCATGCGGTGGCGATTTCGATGCATCCTCGGCGTTGGCTGGCGCATCTCTGCAACCGCGCATGCCCAAACACGCGCGCGCAGCGGCTAGCTAGTATGGCGCGGCCGACGCGGCCGCGGTGGCGCCGACCGCTTGGCACATCCCACCGGGAACTTCAGTGCGAGACGATGACTTGGGCGGGCGCGGTTATCATGGCGACGCCGACAACGGCACACACGATGCAGATAGTGGCGATGCTGGACAACGTCGACAAAAACGAAGGCGCAGCCAGTGACGGCGCAGATGCCGATCACGCCAGCGACGATGACGGTGTCCTCGAGTCAGCGGTGAAGGTTTTGGAAAGAGTTCGACATGCGATCGCGGCCGACGCGCGAGAGGCCCGCATGGATCGTGCCCCCCCAGCACGAACGCAACGGCGCTCGAATGATGTCGGCATGCGGCGCGAGGAGGCCCGCGTGGCAGAATTCCATGAACATGTTGGTAAAACCGATGGTCTTCTCAAGAATTCGTCAAAACGCGAGCGCACGCTTCTTTAAAAACGGATGTTGTGAAACCGCGTGTTGTTGCACATGTTTTGGCACTCGGCTTTGAAATCGTTACGGCTGCAGAAAGGTTTTTGGCAGATTCCGGCACGCGCGCGCGACGACGCGCGCGCGCACTTCGTCACACTTTTTGCAAACGGATTCTCGCGACGGCCCGCGCGCAAGGGCTTTCGAATGATTTCAACATGCGCGCGCGCGAAGCCCGTGTGGTAGCATTTCCAAATTTTCACACACACACACACACATATATATATATACATATATATATACGTGTGTGTATATATATGTATAACTGTAAATGGTTGTCTGAAAACTTCGTAACCTCGCGCGCGACCTTTATTCCGCGTTGCGAAATCCTGTGTTTTATATATGTATTTGGAGCACTCGATTTTTTTTTTTTTTTTTTTAAAAAAAAAAAACATTACGAAACCAATGGCTCTGAAGGATTTCGGCCTGCGCACGCGACGACGCGCGCGTGCTCACCTCGTCCCAATTGGTGCATGGGGTTCTTGAAAACTGATGATTTTGGATAAACGCGTGCGCGCGCACCGTCTTTTTGCGCAGAGGATGGCGGGGAGGGTCGATACTGCCCCCCCTAGAATGGTGTAAACTCATTTATAAAATGGACGATCGGCCGAATCATATGTAAATCGCAATACAAGAAGGGGATGGGACAATTCCGGTGGGGTGAGCGTATTTCTTATTAGACCTGAGAATTCACCTTGCCGAACTTGAAATTGTCAACTCCACTGCTCGCGCAAACATCCCACCCACCCACACGCAACTTGGTTTGCAAAACCCATGCGGCGGAAATTGCGATGAGTGCATGGTGTCGGCTTCTGCATCTCTGCGGCCGCGCTAGCCCGCGTGTGCTCGCGCGCGCAGCGGCCAGCTAGTTTGGCGCGGCCGACGCGGCCGCGATGACGGTGACCGTTGGGCACATCCCAGCGGGCACTTCGCTACGAGTCGGCGGCTTGGGCGGGCGCGGTATCATGGCAACGTCGACAACGGTAGACACGATGCTTATAGTAGCAGTAGCGGTGTTGGTGACGATGGCAGCGGCGACGGCGCGGCCAGTGACGGCGCTGATGCTGATCACGCCGACGACGATGACGGCGTCCTCGCGTCGGTGATGAAGGTTTCGGAAGGAGTTCGACGTGCGCGATTTGCCGACGCGAGAGAGTGGCTCGCATGGAA